TATTACCACATGCATGTTACCATATGCATATAGCCATAATACTATTTGCATATTATCACATGCATGTTACCATATGCATAAAGCCATATTACTATTTGCATGTTACCACATGCATGTTACCATATGCATATAGCCATATTACTATTTGCATGTTACCATATGCATATAGCCATATGAATATAGCCATATTACTATTTGCATATTACCACATGCATGTTACCAAATGCATATAGCCATATGAATATAGCCATATTACTATTTACATATTACCAAATGCATTCTTCTTACCCGCTTTATGGAATTTATCCAGCATCCTCAATCGTAGATTCAACTCAATATTGAAATATTCTTTCTCTTCATTGGGATCTTTTAAAAACCATGGAATGTGTTGGAATATCACTAAATGTTTACAGCCTGAGGTTTGTGCATCTAGTAAAACAGTACATACATACATATTTAGACTTCTCTAATCTTAAATCAAGTATACTACACTATTTAAATATGACATCACACAATACAATATAATAAACTTAGGCAAGGTTTCTCTGAACCCTCCTATTCACATAGTTCATACCCACCCATAGACTCTGGTCAGTCAAAATGACTATTTTGAACTGTAGGCATTAATCAGCAATTCTGTCGGTGACAGAGAGATAGAATCTAGGTCAGGGAAAGCCAAATGACCCCAAGATTCTCTTTCTCTTACATCACGAACCAAGTGACCGAGACGATATGGCAGTGCCATAGATGGCTGTACAATCACTCTGGTTCCTTTCTCTCTGCATCGAGGACCTAGACCAATGCTACGGAAAGAGTGGGGTGGTTAGAGGGGACCCGTAGTCTATGGTGGGTATGAACTATGTGAATAGGCAGGTTCAGAGAACCCTCTCCTAAATTCACTACGTTCAATTACCCACCATAGACTCCGGTCAGTCAAAACGTCAATAGGTGGCGGGTTTTCCGAGCAAACAGAAAAGTGATGAAAAGTCTTTTCCTAGTCCGGGATGAAACACTCTACAATAATCTCTCAACACCCTAGTTAAGACCCAAAAAAGGGTGGTGTCTTACCTTGCATGTGCTGTCCCCAGAGCAAGAGGCCAAAATGCTGCTACGGTGACATGGGTCGGTGTGCCCGAGAAAGCTAGACCCCAACCCAATTCTGGGGGGTAGTAAGCTTTCGAAGTAAAGACCGAAACAGTTCTGCATGAGGGCATAGGCCGCAAAGCAGGACCTGGGAGCTTCCAGGGGAGTGCTGATGGTAGAGAAATCTGTCCGCATAAAATGCCAAGACTGACTTATTGCCCATGTGCAGGGACTCTAGTGGTCGTTCGGCTGGGTCAGCAAACCAAGACTGACCCGCTACGACGGGACCCAACCTAGAGAGACCCTTTTCAATGGATTCGGTGTCTCTTAGGTGGTAGTTAATAAAGACGTTCTGCGTTCTCCAGAAGCCTGCCTACATGTGTGCTCGAGGGAGGGCGCCTGATGCTAGCACTAATGAGTTAGCAATCGCACAGACCTCATGCGCTCGTACTTGGTGTCTCTGCAAGTATTATAGACCTCTAATACAGTTGCAGTAAACCACCTGTTATGGAAGTTGGGGAGGCAAGCCTATTCTGCCATAACACAAAGATATGTGCCTGGCACCCCGTCCCAAATCCTTAGTATGGTTTGGTGGCAACTCCATGCTCGAACCGGGCAGAGAAGCAATTCCTCCTGACCCTCCGGGCAGACAAAATTTGATAGCCGGGGGATGACGATCAGGTGAGGATCGTGTCCTTGGCTCCTGGAGTCAGCAGGAGTGTTATGTACGTCAGGAGCTTGGTGTTCCGGGGTGTGGCAAACCGGTCTAATCGTGGACCGTCAACAGCCGAAACAGCCTGGAGGCTACCCACTGGGGTATCAGCCACTCAGTGTTCTGAAGACAGAGCTGCCCTGAAAGGGCATCGCCAGACTGTTCCTTACCCCTGGAAGGTGGTGTGCGGTTAGTTCCACATTGTATTCCAGGCACCAAAGGAGGATTTGCTCCACTAGGACTGACAACGATGGGGAATGCCCCCCCCCCTCCTTCTTGAAGGAGACCACCGCTGCGTTGCCTGTGCGGAGCAGGACTCTGTGGTCTCGAACTACGGGTAGAAAGCGTAGTAGTGCTAAGTACACTGCTCTCAGTTTGAGCCAGTTGATATGGTAGTCCCGTAACTAATGTGGGAGCCATATCCTTGGGCTTGTTCGTTCAATAGATGCGCTCCGCAACCCTGGGGGGAGGCATCTGTTACCAGAGTCATACCTGCGGCGAGCGGGTCCGAGGGGGCCCCTCTGCCCGAGGTTGGCCAGTGACGACCACCAGGGCAGGGCTTCCTTCACTTGGTCTGAGATCAAAACGCCTAGTTCCCATAGGAGAGCTTGGCTATATAACAAGCGTTATACCGGGCGGCTGCGTAGTGCGGTCTGGGGAACAGCCCTTCGAAAAGACGTCATCATTCCAATGATCCACATTAGTTCTCGGAGGAACACTGAGGGAACACAGACTAGGTATTTGGCTAGGCTGCCGAGCGCTAAGCAACACGCTTGAAATAGCTAAGCCAAGCTTACCTCTGTGTCAAAATTCCATGCCCAGGGACAACAACTGCGTGTTGGGTCGAGGTGGGACTTGTCGATTTACTAACGAGCCCAACTGGTGAAGTAAATTTTGTGTTAGCCTGGCTATTAACCCCTTGCCCGGGTTGTTGGTAACCAGTAGTCTGGGTACAGATTGAGGTGTACCGACATCTTGTGAAGCAGCAGCACTACCTGTTTCACCACATCATGCTAACCCGCATGGGGGGGCACCCGAAACTCGAATACTTGGCCCAGCTGGCGATTCGAAGGAGATGGCAACTCACTGGGTGCATCGGTATGTGCATGTAGGCCCCATATAAGTCTAGTGGGGCTAGCCAGTCAAAACAGTGGATGGAGAGAAGAACCCTAAATGGTGTCTCCATGTGGAACCGATCGAGGAGCACGTACTGATTCAGTCTGCCTAGGTCCAGAACTGGACGCCCGCCACTTGTAGATTTGGTACTACAAACACATTTGGGTAGAAGCCTGGACTTAGTTCCGGCTGATATACCCTGTGTATGGCACCTTTTCCAAGCAAACTGCTACTTCCTGTCTGATTGCTTCTGCTTTGCGGGAGTCCCCTGGCAGTGCCCAACAGGGGACACTGACGGGGGAAATGGAGATTTCAGCGATATCCCGTAACAGGCTATCATCACCTGGAATGATCCAGGGATCAGTCACCCGCTGTCTCCAAACCGGGCTACACCGGCGCAATCTGTGCATGACAGGGATATGTGGCCATGGGTTCGGCAGTTGCGAGGGGGGGTGCTCTCTCCTGAGTTCCCCAAGGCTTGAAGTAGTCACTAAGTTGTGACCTGGCCACTCGCCGAACACATGCCTGTCCCCCAGTTGCAGAGGTGAGCGTCAAACATGCTTAGACGTCCTGGGGGCACACGCCACTACTCTTCCCTCCAATGTAAGGGTATGAGCACTTGTCTTCTGGGTGACTCTGGCTAGCGAACGATGCCCTAAGGCATTGTGTTTTCTGTGCTTTGGGTGCCCTTCGCTTGCCCTTGGCAGGGCCAACTAGCTAGCGTATTCGATCTGAACCCTCTGGTCCATTGCAATTCGAAGCTCCGAGACTGTACGTACAATTCCCTGAACAAAGAGTGGAAGATGTTCAGTCTGCGTCACTGAGGTGGGAAGATACCCCCCCCCCCGACTCAGCTTGTCGGCGAAAACACGTGCGTCTAAGGCCGCGTCTCGTAGCACAGTAGTGGCCTTGGCCAAGAGAGCCAGGTGACACTAGGGGGTGTCGCACGTAGATGTGCGGTGGCCCACCAGTACAGGTGACGCCTAGTCTAGGAGGCTGGTACGTTCTGCCTCCAAGGTCTCCAGAGTCCTGGGTATGCGCAATAATGCGCTCAAGCAACTCTGCCCTCAGGGCTGGATGGGTCGTCTCCGATTTGCAAAAACACCCATGGAACGCGACTGTCCCCCTTTGCCTGGTTTGCCAAACGGAAATTCCTGGTACCAGGGTCTGGGGAAGGAGCCTTGGGATCCGGTTGGGGGCATTTTTGGTCTCATACCACGCTATGGGGTCTGATCCCGAAACTACACCAACCAGGTAGCGTTTGGTCCAGCAGGAAGTGTTGCCTAATGTTTTCCCCACCCAGGGGCCTTAATCATTACGTCCTCTGCGGCTGACCAACGTCCGCCCATCAACATAGTTTGCGTGCTCTGCGCCTCACTCTGCATTCGGATGAACAGGGAGAGACGTGCCAACAGGGTTGCTTTGGATCCCATAAGCGTTGAAGCAACCTTAGGTGGTCACCTTAGAATCAAGGATGGGGGTATTTACATAGTATCACTAGGATCGATGAGACTCCGCATCACCCCAAAAGT